AGAGTGGGGTTCTCACTGGGTCACTATATTTTACATTTCTAGTGTAAGGGAGTGTGAAAACATATTGTAATTATCTTGAAAATATAGTGGAATTGTTCGAAGGTTGTCCCGTGGTTTTTTCCTCTATTTGGAGGTTTTTCCACGTTAAATCTTGGTGTCTTATTTCTTGCATATTTTATTTATTTGGGATATTCTTAGTATGCTCTGTGGTCGCAGTTTAATCTGAACTTCCACATCAGAAAAGAATTATTCCGGTTTCATTGCAAGAGATTTCTTTTGTCATTCTTGAGTTGCTGGGATTGAGATTATTGTTCACCATTTTACCTTGATATTTTAATTTACATCTTCCGCATTGCACATATGAGCCCAACAAAAAAGGGAAATGACTAAAATTATAAAAGAAGCTTAGAAATTATATTACATATAAAGCTGAATAATAGAAATTGTAACATTTATATAAAAGTAGAATAAAGTGAAAAAAATATTAGATAGAATTTTGAAACGTCTTTTGACGGAAAATGAAAATATATTTATTAATTATTTTGTTAGCAATTATATATATATATACGAGCATCTCCAATGGAACAATAACTCTTTTGTGTTGTACTACATGAAGTAAGAAAACTAAAAATTGTGTCTCCAGTAGTCAATGTTAATTGTGGTATTATCTGTGATGTGTAAAATTATAACTGGTTGAAAAAGATGGATAAATTATATAATATATAATAGAAGTTGTTTAGAATGACTTCTAGATATTTTCAGTGCCACATTAAATTATTGAGGAAATAGCTATTTTCACCCCGTTCTGAAGTCACACTAAGTTTTTCACACCACCCAATAAAAAGCTAAGTTTTTCACCCCAAAAAGTACGAAGACATGTGCGATGAAACATGCGCTAAATAGGCGACAGGTATGAGCATGGGCGAGAAAATTTTGAGTTAAATTATGCGACTGTTCTACGATGAATATTCAAAGATTCGATGTACGATTCGGTCAATCGCGGTCCGTCGCCCATTAAATAATTATTT